TACAGCGCGCCCAGACACGTCCTTAATTAACCAAAAAACCACATCTTTATTAATAACAAATTAATTATTTTACAAAAATATTAAATATAAACTAAGCAAACGTGCATTGCACGTTGCTTGCACCTAGTTATGTAAATAAATTCATATAACCATGCATATTGTTGATACAAATAAAATGAATTCGTGGAATTTTCTTTCCATTTAAATTTTTAGATGAGATTGTTGTTGACATGGTTTTAGATTCTTAGTTCAATCCCGTCGACATCAATTTATCAAAATTTGTACGTTTTGGACATTTGATCAGAAAAAAATAAATTCACTACAAAAAAGTACGGTATCACCGATGGAAAATGGCATGAGTTCCGTTGGTAAATCACCAATGATTTCACATTGCTATTTTTTTTTATTTTTTTTTTGAATTATTCTATGTGTACATTATGAGATCCATAATGTACACATGGCAGATGGATCCCATAATGTACCCATAGTACCTCTTTTTTATTTTTTGGCTAATTTTTGCTTGTTTTACCAGCAGAATAAATCTATTCATATTTTGAATTGCACTTTAAAAAAAAATTATTACAATTACATTTCTTTTCTTGGCCGCTAAATATCTTAGATGATGTTTGGTGGGAATTGAAATTAGATTTTTAGTGGATTGTGATAGAAGTTTTTGACATATGTGGTTGAAAAGATATGTGACCTATGAAAGATATATTCAATATTGATTATTTGACTTTAATTCAAATTAAAATCAGATTTTAATCCGATCCAAACGGTCCATTAAAGTTAATCTTATAAAATAAAGTTAAAAGTTAAAGTTAAAATTTTTAATGTACAAATCAACTAACCATGTAAATGAAATTACAAAAAATATCCATTCAATTTCTATTAGAGTCCAAACCAACATAAAATAAAACTAAATTAAAAGAATATTTAGTCCAACTATTGGAGACACTTTGTCTTCTGCAAATGTAATACCCTTCTCTAGTAAAGGAAGAAATATGTAACCTACAAATTTTTTTTAACCAAAAAAAAAAGCCAACAACAACAACGTGACTTATTAGAAAGATGTAACCTGCACACAAATGAAAAAATATCACGGATAATGAACTTAGGTCATGTTTGATTGCAACGAATTCCATAAAAAATGTCACATCCGAGGAAAACAAATTCTATTTTGGCCGTTTGATTGCAACGTGGAAATAAAAATCGAATTCTAAGGTACAACCACTTTAACCTGCATTTTCTTTGTTTTCATGGAAAACAAATTCATATGGGATTGATAAGTTTTTATTTTCCAACTAACATTGAATTTAAATTTATTTCCATATTTATCTATGAAACGGACCCTTATAATCTTTTCATATCTTCAACGTGACCTATTAGAAAATGCAAGATTTTATAATATTTTCATATCTTATAATTATTTGCCTATTAAACTATCGACGTCGAAATATAGGAGCAAACCTATGAAAACAAAAATCCTATGACTAAGAACTAATTGGTCGATTTACTTCAAAATTTCAATGATTAAAAGGCGTTTTTTAACTTTTGTGCTCGTTATGACTTCAAACCCAACGAGCAGTTGAAAAATCTAATGCATAAAAAATCCAATTCTTCATGAATATGAATTTTCTGTAAATATCTTTTATTCCACGACATAATTTGTGATATAAATATATTTTTAAATAATTATTCATATTTTATACAAACAAATTGAGGCTATATGATAAGCTTTAACGCGCGCCACTTTGTGGATTTAAATACTAAAATTAATTAATTGAGTCTTACTTATTACACGATCCTTATCATTTCTAATGGAGATAAATAACATTATTATAATAAAAATTGTATAATCTAATTTTAAAAGACGTAGTCGAAATATAAATGTTTCTGTAATAAGAAATCAGATTTTTAGTAGATTTTGATAAAAGTTAATAAAATTTATGGTTGAAAAGTTGTGGGTCCCATAAAATATGTAGCTAAAATTAATTGTTGACTTTGACTTGAAATTTTAATTGAATTTTAATCCAAACCGAACATGGGCTTTATCTTCTAAAGAATGTGAGATTTAATTACATGCTTTGGAAGGTAAGAATTATAGTAAATGCATGCATTTAATCTGATTTGGGTAATGCTACATGTACACA